AAATCCAGTGCTTCATCCAAATACTGCTGTGCCAGGAGGGTCTTTCCAAAGCAGAAACGATGGTCCTTGCTCCTGCTGCCATGATCGGGCTCATTTTTCCCCCTCTTGTCCAAGTCTCCTCTTGGTAGCATCTCCCCATTTCGGCCCCATTCCCCCAGAGATGGGGTGTGGGTATCCACTGCAGGTGCTGGGGCCGCACAGGAGCATGTGGGGGCTGCTGGGTGCAGGCAGCTTTCGGGGTGGGTATTATTTTTTGGCAGAGGGACCAGGAAGTCTGCAGCTCAGGCTAATTATAATGTGACCTAATTAGCTGACTATTCTGACAATGTGCGGGGACTGTGGTAACCATGATAACCTCCCTTCCCCAAGTCTTGTGAGCAAACCGTCAGGAGCTCTGGAGTCTCACAGCTCCCCTTGGTGCCATCTTGTCCAGGGAAAATGGGAGAGGGGGGTGTGAAAGCACCGGGCTGTGAGGCTGTGCCTGATGGGAGTGACCTTTCTGAGGTATGTAGAGGGGAGGAAAACAGCTGTCAGCTGCATCTGTGGGGCACGAGGGAGTGGAGAAATTCCAGCCTTGCTGTTGCTTTTGTATTTAGGGAATTTCATGTGTTGCCCACGCATTTCATGAGTGCCTTCTGCCTGGCCGGTGGGAGAGACTGTGATGTCCCGCTATCCTCCTGGAGCTGCTCAGGAGCCCCTCACTGGGTGCTACTGCACCAAGGGACCTGTTTGTGCTGCAGCAGATCAGCTTGTTCAGGACTGCTGTGCTTCTGGTGTGACTGGCTGTCTCTGGAGACCCAGCGGTCAGGGAGGTCATCCCCATGGGGACTCGGCCACCCCAGGTGCCTGGCACCCAGCCTGGGCCCTGCAGGCTTTGGTGCCTCGGGGTCTCACCCAGCATCTCAGAGGAAATCTTGCTGGAGGAGACTTTCATCTTGCCCTTATGTCCCTCCAAGAGCAGGAGAGCTCCTGCTGCCTGGGCTGGGGAGGATGGAGCTGCATGTGGCCAAGGAGCCTGTTCCTGTCCCCACCCCACTATGGAGGAATTGTTTCCAAAGCTCTTGGCAACAGAATGGAATATTTCAGTTGGAAGGGACCTACAATGATCGTCTAGTCCAACTGCTTGACCACTTCAGGGCTGACCCAAAAGTTCAACCATGTTAAGGCCATTGTCTAAATGCTTCTTAAACAGTGACAGGCTTGGGGCATCAACACCTCTCTAGGAAGCCTGTTCCAATGTCTGACCACCCTCTTGGTAAAGAAATGCTTTCTTAATGTCCAGTCTGAGGCAGCTTTGAACCATTCCCACGCGTCCTATCACTGGATCCCAGGGAGAAGAGATCAGCACCTCACTCTCCATGTAAGGTGAAGCACAATGCTAAGAGGGAATAAAGTGCTACTTAGAAAGGATTTTGAAATATTTAAGAGGAGATTATTACTACTTCAGCACCATTACTCTGCCTGCTTTATTTCAAAGCCTGTATTAGGCCATTGCAGCATGCAGGAGCCTACTCAAAGATCAAAGTACAGGTGCCTGTAGTGTGTGGAGCAAGCTCAGGTACAGCAAATGTGTACAGGGAGGGCAGGTTTTCTTTCCAGCCCTTCTCAAGAAGCGTGAATGTTTAAAAACTGCTCTTTGATCCTTAAGCATTTGGGATTGCTCATTCAACTATCTTGTTTTTTTCCCTGTTGGGGTTTTTCACACAGCTGGGGAGGTGACTGCCGAGTCAGTACAGGTGATGCAGTCTTCAACATCTCCTTTTTCCTCCCTTCCTGACCCTTCTTTCTTCTGTGGTGTAACTCCTCAGCTGTGCTGTGTGACACCAGTACAATGATTGTACTTGGGCTGTAATCGTGTGTAACACACTTCTTGCTCTTAAGCAAGTCTGTTCAGCAAGTATTCCCTTTTTCCTTCCCCAATTTCCACTCCTGCTTTCCACCCCCAGCGCTTCTGCAGCCCGGGTGGAAGCGAGCCAGCGTGGGAATCTGGGTGCATCCTTGTTGCAGCAGATTTTGGCAGCAGCTGCCTGTGTCTCATCTGCTGCCAGGAATGCTGCTGCAGCAGCGCTGCAAGGCCTTATCTTGCTGGCTGTGTTGCTTGTAGCTGCCTGCTGCATCCCAGCCGTCGCAGTTGGGGACTGATGTGCCCATGGCACTGACTTGCTGCTCCTGGACTTGGCCTGCTTGCGATGTGAGACATCTTTGCCTGTCAGCACGAGAACCCCTCTGTCCGTAATGCCTGCGCGTCACTGGGGTGAGGCTTGGCTGGCAGCCCGGGGAGCTTTGAGCCTGAAGGAAGCAAAGCTCCGGTGTCACGGCAGGACAGCGGGTGACGGCGGGGCCAGGAGGGCTGGTGGAGCACCCAAGTGCTGCGTATTCTTGCTGTGCCGCTCCTGGAGTATGGGATAGGATGGCTCCCTGGGATGCATTTAGGGACCAAACTTGCCCTGGTGCCCTCCGCCAGCTCTGCCTGTGCTGCCTGTGAGGGCTGACCGGTGTCCATCGCTGGGACAGGGCTGCTGTGTAGGCAGTGAAATGGGTGAGAGCTGTGTCAGGGGCTGGCTGGAGCGCTGGGCTCTGAAAGGGAGCTCCCAAAAAGCAGACAGTGGGGCTTTGGGAGCTCCCAAAAGGCAGACAGTGGGGTTTTTGGTAGGGCTGAGGTGTGCCAGAGCATTGGCCGACCAACGAGGTGCAGCCATACCCTGTGTCGCCGAGTGCCTGCGCCTGTGGGGAGGCGGCAGGGAATGAATTACGCTGTCTCTCATGCCCTATAAATACGCCTCTCCCTAAATAGTCTGGCTGCACAGCTCCGTGGCAGCCGAGTGGCTATACCCAGGTCCTAAAATATTCGGGCTGTTTTAGGAGGCGAGGGGGGGGTGGGGAGGGAATGCAGCAGTTGGCAGGATTATGCCGTCGCTCTGCGGGGCTGGCACTGAGCATCCGGGGGCTTCAGTGTCTCTCTGGCTGTCCCCAAGTGCAAGGGACTGGTAACCTGATTTCGGGTTGCATCTTGGCGCCAGCTGTACTGTGGCCCAGCATGCTCAACGCCCATTGTGTGGCTGGTACAGCGTGCTGCTCTGCAACCATGGCCCGCTGCTGGCAAGACCCCATTTCTCACAATCCTGGCTTTGTGCTGCCTCTCTGCAGGGATGACGAGCCCTGAAGCCGTGTCCCACGCTTAACCCTTTCGGGCCATTTGGCCCAGGGCTCAGTGCCAGGGCAGGCACCGAGGGTGGGTGTTCGCCTGCGGGTAGCGTCCGTAGCAGAAGGGTGAGATGGGCACAGCAGGTGTGGGCTGGACTCGTGCCCTCTTTCTGCCTTCATCTCCATTATCCAATGCCTCTGAGGGGGGGCCAGGCAGTGTCCTGACCCTGGGTGGGCAGCCTTTGGTGGGGACCTCCGTGTCATCCTGCTTCTGTACTCAGCCCAAGGGCAGCATGAGCTTGCTGGGGCAAAAAGAACCCCAACCCCAAGTGCCTCCCTGCCACTATATGCTTTGCTGCTTTATCTGATCAAAGGCACTGCCTCTCCAACTGTCTTAATCCAGAGGAATGGCTCCACACCCTTTCTCCCAAACTTAAAGGAAAAGTAAATTGACAATTAAATATTGCACTTGTTACGCTTCTGTGAGGTCTTGAAAGTGCGTCTCAGAGCTGGGCTGGGTAATGCTGTGAATGTGTGCCTTAATTAACTGATGCCTTGCTGTGATGAACCTGCTGCCTTTCCTCCCTGTGACATCTCAGCTCTGTGACCTGGTTTCTGCTCCGATGGCTGAAAGATGGTTGTGGAGGTGGTGGGACTCTGGAAAGTCATGGAGACCACCTCAGTTTGGGGGAAAAGCACCCTGTGCCTGTGCAGGCAGGAGCAGAGCTCTTGTGTAGGCAGTGCAAGGCAGGGCTGCAGCCCTGCAAGCAGCTTGGGGCCAGCAGCTTTGTTCATGCCTTCCTCTGCCACAGCTTCCTCTGCGGCTGTGAGGTTTCTCAGCTAGAAAGGGCTTTCTTCCAGGGTAACCACAACTGTGCAGGTCTCGATCTGGGATGGCTACAGCCCTCATTTCTTTGGAAGAGAGCTAACAGTCAATGAAGGATGATGGGTGGGAGGATTTGACTGGTTCGTGCCAAAGGGAAAGCTTCAGTGCCGTGCCTAGGGTTTTTTTTTCTGAATGACTGAAAGGATTTAACTCTGTCAGGATTGAGATGGTGGTGAGGGGGCAGCGGCAAGCTGCGCACCAGGGCTGAGCCCAGCCTGGCAGACCCTGCCCCATCTTCCCATGCCAGCCCTCAGCTCTGTGCTGGGCCCTGATGGCAGGAGCAGGATAAGGGAGGGCTGTTGATGGGCTGTCTGATAGCAGAGCGCCCATCCCTCCAGCCTTTGGACTTTGAAACCCCACACAATGGGTGTGAAGTGCTGGTTGCTGAGTGGCCCAGATGCTTTACTCACACCCTCAGTGGATGTCAGGGGAGGAATTGGTGCACGGTCCCAGGCTGAGCACGGCAGGTCACTGCCTCCGCATCCCTAAAGCACTCTGCCCCTTGCACAGGTGCTTTCTCCTCCTGCAGAGTCCTTGCTGTCCTTTGCGCTCCACTGGGAGCATGGTCCCACTCCAGCCTTGTTCCTAGAGGCGGGCACTGGTTTCTTTTGCCAGCCCAGCCCCATGGTGCAGCCCCTGGTGCCAGCCGGCATTGTTGTGCTCCCCTGAGACTGCCTTTCTGCTCTGCCTGGGGACACCGAATAAACAGCTGCCCTGAAGCACCGTGCTTGTGTAGTACAAAGCCATTTTGGAGAGGAAAGATCTTAACAGCTAGAGGGGGTGTGTTTTACTTACAAAGAAAGATAGCCACTTTCTACTGGCAGGTTCTGGTTGCTTTCTGCTCTGTATTTCTCCTCTAAATGAGCAGGAGACCTGGCAGGAGCTGGCTCCAGCATGCCTTTGCCTCACTGTGCTGGTGCATGGTGTAAGCTGTGTGTAAGTAACCTTTGTGCCCACGCAAGTAGGCGAGATGGCTTACCTCAGCGGGATTTCCGAGTTCCTCCATGCTCCTTTCGTGTAAGTGGTTTGGTCTGATCTCCCCTGAGCATGTCTCAGCTCTGAAAGCTGCCCACTACTTCCCCAGGCTTAATATATCTCAGCATTGGCAGTGTTGTGCAGCTTCCCCTCTCCCCCAAGCTTTGAACCACCCTGTGACTTTATTCATTTGCATGGTTCCTCTTCTGGGAAGATGGATATGGGGGATGATGAGGGCTGACCCCCTTCCCTTTGCACCCCACAGGTATGACTCAGGACGGGACGGGTACATCGACCTGATGGAGCTGAAGCTGATGATGGAAAAGCTGGGAGCCCCGCAGACCCACCTGGGGCTGAAGAATATGATCAAGGAGGTGGATGAAGACTTTGATGGGAAGCTCAGCTTCCGTGAGGTGAGGGTGGCTGCAGGAGCAGATGCGGATGTGGCTGCGGGGCGAGGGGAGGAGGCAGCTAGGCTGCTCTGGCTGTAGGTAGCACTGTCCCCCCTGTGCTTCTCCAGCTGTGGGGTGCAGTGGAGAAGCAGGTGAGCTCCTCCATGCCATGGGGAGCTCAAGGTGTGGACCACTGTCAACGTCCATCCCCATGTGGCAGTAATGGTACCTGATGCCAAGGCTCTGCAACTTCCATGCCTGCTTTGGGAG